CCCCCCCCCCCCCCCCCCCCCCCCCCCCCCCCCCCCCCAAACTGGTCCCAGTCCGCAGTTCCGGCAGCGCCAGTGGCGGGAGGGGCCCTGGAGCAGCTCGGTGCTCGTCGTCGCCAACGTCAGCGCGGCGCGCGCCCGCCTGCGCCGCCGCTTCCTCCAGTCCCACCAGTCCCACCAGTCCCACCAGTCCCGGCGGACCCGGTACCGCTACCAGAACCTGCCCCCGGACTGGGAGGACTGGGAGGACTGGGACGACGGGGAGAGCCCCAACGGCACCGTCGGCGTCTTCGTCTGCGTGGCCCGGAACGAGCGCGGGAGCGCCCGGAAAAGATTCCGGCTGCAGCTGGGAGGTGGGGATGGGGGACTGGGATGTACTGGGAGGGACTGGGAGAGGATTGGGAGGGACTGGGATGTACTGGGAGGGACTGGGAGAGGATTGGGAGAGGATTGGGAGGGACTGGGAGGGGCTAAAAATGGGATTTGGGGTTACTGGTTTATACTGGGAGGGGACTGGGAGGGACTGGGATGATCCAGGGAGCACTGGAAGGTTACTGGGAGCACTGGGAGGTCGCTGGGAGCACTGGGAGGTCACTGGGAGCACTGGGAGGTTATTGGGAGCATTGGGATGATACTGGGACGATACGGGGAGCACTGGGACTATACTGGGATGATACTGGGATGATAATGGGACGTTACTGGGAGCACTGGGATGATACTGGGAGCACTGGGAGGTTACTGGGACGATAATGGGAGCACTGGGACTATACTGGGATGATACTGGGATGATACTGGGATGATACTGGGATGATAATGGGACGTTACTGGGAGCACTGGGATTATACTGGGAGCACTGGGAGGTTACTGGGAGCACTGGGAGGTCACTGGGAGGTCACTGGGACGTTACTGGGAGCACTGGGAGGTTACTGGGAGGTTACTGGGAGCACTGGGAGGTTACTGGGAGCACTGGGAGGTCACTGGGAGGTTACTGGGAGGCCTGGGAGGTCACTGGGAGGTTACTGGGAGCACTGGGACGATACTGGGATGATACTGGGACGATACTGGGACGATACTGGGAGCACTGGGACGATACTGGGACGATACTGGGACGATACTGGGGCGTTACTGGGAGCACTGGGCCGATCCCCCCCCCTCCCCCAGACCGGCCGGACCCCCCCCTCTCCCTGCGGCTCTCGGGGGTCTCCGAGACCTCCCTGAGCCTCTCGTGGGACCCCGGCTTCGATGGCGGCCTGGCCCAGCACTTCCTGCTCCGGTAGGGGGCGCCCTTCCCCCCCCTGACGCCATTTCCGGTCCGCGTGACGTCACTTCCTGTCCCTTGAAGGGTTCCCCGCGTCACTTCCTGTCTGCGTACTTGGACTTCCGGTTCTTTTAAGGGTTCCCTGCGTCACTTCCTGTCCCTTTAAGGGTCCTTTACGTCACTTCCTGTCCCTTTAAGGGTTTGCTGTATCACTTCCTGTCCCTTTAAGGGTACTTTACGTCACTTCCTGTCCCTTTAAGGGTCCTTTATGTCACTTCCTGTCCCATTAAGTGTTCCCTGTGTCACTGCCTGTCCCTTTAAGAGGCCTTTACGTCATTTCCTGTCCCTTTAAGGGTCCTTTACGTCACTTCCTGTCCCTTTAAGAGCTCCCCGCGTCACTTCCTGTCTGTGTACTTCGACTTCCGGTTCTTTTAAGGGTTCCCTGCGTCATTTCCTGTCCCGGCCCCCCAACTTCCTGTCCCTTTAAGGGTCCTTTACGTCACTTCCTGTCCCTTTAAGAGTTCCCTGTGTCACTTCCTGTCTTTGTACTTCGACTTCCGGTTCTTTTAAGGGTTCTTTATGTCACTTCCTGTCCCATTAAGAGTTCCCTGTGTCACTTCCTGTCCCTTTAAGAGGCCTTTATGTCACTTCCTGTCCCTTTAAGAGTTCCCTATGTCACTGCCTGTCACTTTAAGAGGCCTTTACGTCACTTCCTGTCCCTTTAAGGGTCCTTTACGTCACTTCCTGTCCCGTTAAGGGTCCCCCACGTCACTTCCTGTCCCTTTAAGAGTTCCCTGTCACTGCCTGTCACTTCAAGAGGCCTTTACGTCACTTCCTGTCCCTTTAAGGGTCCTTTACGTCACTTCCTGTCCCGTTAAGGGTCCCCCACGTCACTTCCTGTCTGTGCACTCCGACTTCCTGTCCCTTTAAGAGTTCCCGTCTTGGCCCCGCCCCCTCACGGGGTTTCCCAGCCCCTTCCCCCTCCAACTTCCGGCCCCGCCCCTTCCTCACTTCCTGTCTTGGCCCCTCCCCCCAGCGCTGAAGGCCCGGACGCCCCTCCCCCACCCGCCGCCTTCATCACTTCCGGTTTCGCCCTCACGCTGGGCGGGCTCCGCCCGGCCACGCCCTATGACGTCACCGTGCGCGCCCGCAACGCCCGCGGCGACAGCGCCCCCGCGCGGCTGCGCGCCGTCACTTCCGGTGAGTGGGCGTGGCCCGGAAGTGACGTCAAGAGGCCGGAAACAAGATGGCCGCCGGAAAGCGGTCGTGCGACTTCCGGCCGCGACCGGGGAATCCGGCGGGGATTTCCTTTTGGAAACCGGATGTTGAGGGGGCGGAGCCGGAAGTGAGGGCGGGGAAACAGGAAGTGAGGTGGGGGCGGACAGGAAGCCGCCGCATTTGGCGGTAAAAGCGGAACCGGAAGAAGTGGCGCCGGGATTGCGGGGAAGAAACCGGATGTGAGGATTGAGGGGTGGTGGGCGTGGCCGGAAACGCGAGGCAGGATGGGATGAGAGCAGAAAGCAAACCGGAAGTGGCTGCAAAACCACCGGAAGTGTCTCCAAAGCCACCGGAAGTGGTTGCAAACCCACCGGAAGTGGCTCCAAACCTACCGGAAGTGCTTGCAAACCCACCGGAAGTGCTTGCAAACCCTCCGGAAGTGGTTGCAAACCCACCGGAAGTGGTTGCAAACCGACCGGAAGTGTCTCCAAAGCCACCGGAAGTGGTTGCAAAGCCACCGGAAGTTGTTGCAAATCCACCGGAAGTGGTTGTAAGCCCACGGGAAGTGGTTGCAAACCCATGGAAGTGGTTGCAAATCCACCGGAAGTGGTTGCAAACCCACCGGAAGTGGTCCAAACCCACCGGAAGTGGTTGCAAACCCACCGGAAGTGGTTGCAAACCCACCGGAAGTGGTTGTAAATACACCGGAAGTGGTTGCAAAACCACCGGAAGTGGCTCCAAACCCACCGGAAGTGATGTTTCTCGCCCCCCCAGACCCGCCCGAAGCCCCGCCCCCTCTGTGGGAGGAGCCCAGGGAGGAGGCGCCTCCTGGCGGGCGGGAGGAGCCGGCCCCTCCCCCACCCGGCCTGGTGGGGGCTCTGAGCGCGCTCGGGGGGCTCCTCCTGCCTGGCCTGGGGGGGGCGCTCTGCTACTTCCGGTTCCGGAAAAGGCCACGCCCCCTGGTGGGCGGGGACGGGGATGAGAAGGTGAGGGGGTGGGGGGAGGGGCGGGTTCGGATGTGGGGGAGGGGAAGTTTGCGGGGTGGGGGAGGGGCGATTTTAGGGGTGTGGGAGGGGCGATT